GTGAACATAAAATTGATCCTTACCAAAACTTTAATTTGAAGTAGATTTTTAACGGGATCTTGTTACTATTCAGGTACCAGTTAATTAAATATTTAATTATATTCAGAAAAATTGTTTAAATTATTTTAGAATATTGTAAGACAAAATAAAAAAATTATTGTGCCAAAAAATAGAAACGTCCCAATGAGGCACACATTACCCAGGCTAGAAATGGCAAATGAATCCTTTATTTAAAAAAAAAAAAAAATTAAAGGTGAACTTATTTTTCTTCAGTGTTAATATTTAAAATCAATTCTAGCTCTAGTAACAATAGTTAAATTTATGTTTGGATAGCATTAGTCATGATTATAGGAGTGGTGATCTGAGAAGAAAGACTCATTTGTCACAGGTTTCAGGGTTAACACACATTATACAAATATACTTTGTTACTTACGTATTTTTCACCCTTCTCTGAAAATTTAGAATTGAAAAGGATTCATCTAATCATTTATTATGTGCATAATTCTAATAAAGTTCTGCAGATCAGGTTTTGAATGATTTCATGAATTTACTTTTTGCATCATCTTCCCCTAAATGCTTCATGTTTTGCTAGGCAAAAGACGTATTAAAATATGTATCCCTGGTTCTACCAAAAACACAATCTAAACCATTATAAAGCATGAATTACAAAAAATGTCATACATTATTTCGGGAAATTATATACTTTTTTTTAGTTTTATAGTGAGCTATTTGTAAAGTTATGTATCTTCAACTAACAAGAGCTTCACTGCTTATTATTCCTTCTCATACTACATTAAAAATAATCCATATCTAATTTTTTTAAATGGCTGGTTATAAGTCACTTAGATTTGAAGTTTTCAAATAAGGCATGTTTTGAATCCTACAGAAGTATGTGCAGGCATATTCAAAACTCTGAATTTCAAACAAATAGTCTAAGAAGCCAGGAATACAAAAAGGCTACTTTGATGCAAAGTTTAAATCCTTATGATCATTTTATCAATTCTGCCTCAGGTTAAAATTTACATGTTTAAGAATAAGTCATGAGTATCCCCTTTAAAAGTATTTGAAAAACAGAAAACAGTTACTGCATTTACTATTTAACAAACATCAACCCATTTTTAAAGTTTTATTTTAAAATGTCTGGATTTTTAAGTCTCACATTTAGCAGAGATTTTAGCTTAACTACAGTTTTAATTTGGGAAAGTTAATCAAAAAATCAACAGTGCAAAATATTTTTTCTAAACCCTCCATGAATCAAGAAGCCACGGTCTTATCACGTTCAAATGTACAAAGCACAAAACTAAGAAATCAGAAAAAGAATAAAAGTAATCACAAAGGTGCATAATGGGCTCAATTTGGATCTCAGCCATGTGGCCACATATCCTTAAGTATCTTATAAATTAGATACTCCATGGCTATGTCTAGACTGCAGGCTTCTTTCGAAAGAGCCTCTTTCGAAAGAGAGCGTCTAGACTGCACGGAGAAATTTCAAAAAAGCGGCTTGCTTTTTCGAAAGAAAGCATCCAGTGAGTCTGGATGCTCTCTTTTGAAGAAGCCCTATTTACATTGAAGAACGCCTTCTTTCGAAAGAGGAACTTTCGAAAGAAGGCGTTCTTCCTCGTGAAATGAGGTTTACCGCCATCGAAAGAAAAGCCGCGTTCTTTCGAATTAATTTCGAAAGAACGCGGCTTGAGTCTGGACGCAGGGGAAGTTTTTTTGAAAAAAGGCTACTTTTTTCAAAAAAAACCCTGAGTCTGGACACAGCCCATATGTGCAGTAGCTGATGTTACAAAAGATGTGATCATGTATATAATTAGTGCTCTCTCTTGTCACCTCAACATGTTTACTGACACAGAAATTAACGGAGGTTAAGAACTGCAAGACCAGCCAGGGTTTGTCACAGAATTGTGTTCCACATTAGAAGTATAAATATAAAACAATGCAGCATCTGGTTGATTTTTTCCTATGATTAAATGCTGTTCATTTTCTTTTGCAGATTAAGTACAGAAATCCCCAATTTCTCCAGGGACCATCAGTATAATCTACACACTTTTCACATGAATAATAAAACTCCATAAAGCAAAAACATTTTTGTTTCGATCCACATATCTTCTCTCATCTCCTCTGTGACATTGCTATTTTAATACTAATGTCACACAAAATGTACTTCAAGCAATATTCAGGATCTTTTAAAACTAACTATACAGAAAGAAGGCTGAAATTATTCTATGGACCTAATCTTCTGGATTTCGTGTGAATAACCTGGCTGAAGTCAATGGAACAATAAGCCTGATCCAAAATCCATTTAATTCAATGGGAATTTTTTCAGTGACTTCAGTGGGTTTTGGATCATGCCTTATTTGCATTAGTAATCTTTTAAGTATAATAATTTGGGATCTGGCCCATTGTCCCATGTGCTCTAGATTTTTCAAGGGTTTCTCCACAGTCGGTAATGGAGGCCAGGCCTGATCCTGCATTCCTTGCATACTTAAAAATCCTACTAACTTCCATAGGATTTTGAATATGTCAGGAATGCAGTACTAGGCAATTGTACTGTACTGCAATACTCTCAACACTATTACATGGGGGATGAACCAAGCATTTGACAGAAATCTGATTTTATGGTTTGCATTAAGTCAGAGGGTTATTTTACCCATTTTGAGGATGTATACATTTCCTTTTTAAAAGTATAGGTCTGTAAAAAAATTTCCCAAACTATTTACAAAGGCCATGTCTACACTACAGATAAGATTGAAGCTGGTTCAATCTTCCGGGGTTCAAATTAGAGGGTCTAGTGAAGACGTGCTAATTTGAACTGAGAGGGTGCTCCCATTGATGCCGGTAGACCTACTTCTATGTGCAGTAAGGAAAGTTGAAGAGATAGTGTGCTCCCTTCGACTTTCTGCAGTGTGGACAGCGCCAAAATTCAAGTTAAGATTATTTGACTTAAGATATGCAATTAGTGTAGCTTAAGTTGAGCATCTTAGGCTACATCTACACAGCAGAGCTATTTATCCCGAAAAAGCTATTCTGCATCTTAAGAGCAAGCCCATTATATCAAAATATAATGTACTCGCTATTCCGACATTCCTGTAAACCTCATTGCACGAGGGATAAGAAATGTTTCACAATAGTGCCTTATTTCAAAATAACATTAAAATAAGCTATGCAATTTGTGTAGTGCAAATTGTCCTTTGAGGTAAGGTTGCTGTGTAGATGCACCCTTAATTAGAACTTATCCACTAATGTAGACCAGGGAAAAGATTAGTAAAGGCTTACTAGATATTGTAATAAGTGGTTGATCAATTGTTTTGGTATCAATAAAAGAAACAGGTTAATTAGAACCATCTCTATCACCTTCTAATAAAACCATATATAAGATTTTACGAGGAAGAATGAAGATGCAAGTCCGTAATATGTGATTGAAAGATTTTTTTCAGATTTTTTTTTTTAAATTGTAGTCTTCATCTGATGTACATAGTTACCTACACTTCATGAGGGAAGTTAGTTGATTTGTAATTATGCTGTGCTGCTAGCTGGTTATTGTAAGTTTAACTATAGCCAGGTCAGCTTTGAATCTGTGGTTTCATGTCACATTAAAGACACAATAAAATTCCGGTGTGTTTAAGACCAACTATAACATACCAATCATGTCTATAACAGCTATTAAAATAATTAACCCTTTACTATTCATAAATGTATTCCTAGTATTAAGTATAGCCAACATCTCTCTCCCATGGATACATGCCAGAGTTGGAAAGTAATCATAAAACATTCATTTACCTTGAAAATATGTGTATGTACTTATAGTTACATACGTCGCATAATGATAACTCTCAAGCAGAGAGAGTTAATTATTTTTTGTCATGGTCTAAATTTCTTGGCCAAGGTATAATCAAGGTGCACAGACACCAGAGAAAATAATAATAATAATAAAAAAAGAAATAAAAAGATTTCACAGTCCAGGCAAAAGCATCTGGCAGTCTGGATTTGGCCCACAGTCTGCCTACTGACTACCTCTGTCCTAGAGGAAATGCAACTGTAATCAAATAAAAAGCTTATCTATTTTTTAAAGTGAGGATTTCTGATCTAATAGAACATGATTGTTTACAGTCTATCTGCCTTTGAAAAAACAAGTTGGCATAAAGGATTTGTACGTACTACATTACACAGTAAAAAACCTTCTCAAAGTGTTTTGAAAAAGCAGTTACTGTAGATGCCTGGTACCCACTTTTTGGAAGTTCAACGTCCATGCCATTTTAATTAATAAAACAAAGAACACACATCATAATCTTACTACCTGCTAAGTTTTTCATTCCTCAGAACTGCTTCTGCACTGCAAAATCAGTCCCTCTCACTCACCTCAAAATATTAAGTGGTAAACCATTTTTTCTGCATTTGTGTAAACAAAACAAAAAAGGCCAAAAATTGTGCCAGACAAAAATCTTGGCTAACTAGCTGGATATTTTCCAGCGAGGTTACAGATTTCTGAAAATATGAGTGATGGTGAACTAAATAATACTAACTTAATTAATACTTTAAGTTTGAAGACAGAGCATGTTTTTTCCATTCTGAGAAACTGTTCATGTAAAAGTCCATCATCCATGAAGCATGTTCTCATTTTTAATTTTTCTTTGCTTTGATAGTTCAGTTGCTTCACAATATCTCTTAAGACAACTATCCGAGAAAAACTAAATTTACAGTGTTCACATTTTAAAGATTGTCAGTTTTATAGAACAAATGATGCTAAAACAGTGGAAGATTGATGTGTCATTTCTGTCACTATCTGAAAACATGGGTATCTCATAACATTAGGCAAATATTTTGACAGTAAACTACAAGGTTAGTAAGTTTGTAAACAGGCGTTCCCATAGATTTCTCACACAGTTAAAAAATAAGTGATTATTTAGTAGATCCTACAAAACTACAGAACAACATTTATATTTTCATGTTACAAAGGTAACCAAATGACATGGGTAGGGTGACCTTTTAACAGCATATTTGCACTCTCATTATACTTTGCAGGATGATTAAATAAAATTATTTCATAATGCGAAAAATAAAATATTTGAAAGAGTCTAGCAAGCCTAGAAAAACAGATTTGGGTCTGGCAAAGCCAAACCTAGCTTATTCAATCTCCAATGAAAAAACAACAAAGTTAAGTCAAGTCCAAAATGTTTCCAGGAGCACTCTTCAGCAATACATTTAACAAGAAGTGAAACCTAAACAGGTATCATTTCTGAAGTTTATTTGAATACTACTTAAACTTGGATTCTCACTGATTTTTCTTGGTTAGCCTTTCTTGTTGGGAGAGAGGATTACAGTTTGAATGCATTCTATTCACTATGTTAGAGAGAATCAATAGAAACAGAAATGTTTCACTATGTAGAAATTCAAGTGGTTAACATCTTAGATTTTCATGAGGGAATGAAGGTCATTTGTATTTTCAACATGCTTACCAAATTGTATTTGATCCTAGTCAACTTTAAACTCAGTTGAATTTTTGGTGAATGTTTTGTTTGAATGATTATCAAAAATAAGAGAAGGCCAAAATACAAGAAATATAGAGTACCTATAAATTACACTTTTAGGGAAATGGGGCTAACTTTCATCTTGCATAGACTGCATTCATTGTTCTCAAGAAGGCTTGGTAGCTGAAACTGGACCATTAGTAACTTAAGTTAATTACAATCAAGTGCATCTGTTTTAAATTTTGCACAATTTCTTTTTAAATGTTTGAGTTATACAGATGTTATATAGATATATTAGATGTCAGTCCTTGAAGATGTTTGGGCTCCACAGTTTGTTAAATAGTTTTATCTTTGATTATTAAAATAGAAGTAATTTTACAAATATAATTTACTTTTCAATATTGTTTACTTTTTGTAATTTTCTTGAGACCAATTAAAAATTTATTACTCCATTTTCTTTTGTTCCTAATAACTTTCCAGTCAATTTCACTTTCCAGGTCCTTACACACTTGCTAAATGCTGCAAACCTCACATAGAATGCTAACTTATTCTATTGAATATATATATATATATATATAATTTCTACTCGAATGAAGGGAAAAATCCAAAGAAACACTTTGTACAAGCTTGCTTTCATAAAATCAAAAGGGACATCATCAACTTGAAATCTAATTATTTTCAACCAGATTAAACGTTTCAGGTACTACACCTGCTTGAATCCTTCTGCCAATACATATATTTTTTAAACAATCACATTTTTCCATTATTCAAGGGCTCGATTCTGCCAGTCTTACTCATATTGAGCAGTACATTATTCACATATGTAAGTATTTGCAGTATTGTGGATTCAACTGCTACTACACATGAATAAAGACGGCTGAATCTAGCCCAATGGTGGGCAACATGGGGCCTGTAGGGCTGCATGTGGACCACCAGGGTGATTGACTAGAACCCGTGAGACATTGTGCTGATGTTGAACATCTGCAGCCACTGCCTCCCACAGTCCCCAGTGGCCTCGGTTCTCTGTTCCCATCCAATGGGAGCTGCGAAGCAATGGCTAGCACATCCATGTTGCCCCTTAACCTGCAGGCGCTGCTTCCCATAGCTCCCATTGGATGGGAAGAGAGAACTGAGGTCACTGGGAGCTATGAGGGGCAGAGCTTGCAGATGCTCAACACCAGCACAGTGTCTCACGGGTTGCAATCAGATCACCTTGGTGGTCCTCATGCAGCTCGCAGGCCCCGGCTTGCCCACCATTGATCTAGCCCTAAAAAATATTTTTCCTCTCAGCTTCTGTTTTGTGAAAAACACACAAAAGGAAATAATTCTAACATGGAAATACTTAAAAAAATGGTCTGGCAAAGGAAAACAGTAAACAAATTAAAAAGAAAAAAAATATTTTTGCTTCTAATCTCTGCCAGTTATATTCATTTTAGGTGTTGTTTGTAACACTAGTATGTACAATGTCTTCAGACAGGAATTTGATTTTTAAGTTCACTGTGCCCTTTAAATTTTGAGGTCAAATTGAACTTGTCAATATGCCTTAAATCAGTTACTTTATACCAGTTTTCATAATTAAATCTTTCTTTATACACTTAGTATTTTCTTTAAACTGCTCAGTACACATGGGAATGGTATTAGTAGAAAAACAGAGAAGCTGGATTTAAACAAATACTTTAAAAACTTCATTTTAATAATTCTAACTATAATACCTCATTACTGCAGCTGAGTCAACAGGCCCAATTCATCATAAACATAAGAGGGTGCTAAAGTGGCAAAGACAGCTGTTTATGCTAGTGGTGAGTGTAGCTCAATGCCAGTAAAACAAGTATTTTTAATGGTAACCCCTGAAAAAGAAATTTGCTCTTTAAGTACATGTAACAATTTTTTTTGCATCTTCTGTTCAGATCTCCATCCCTGCTGCCTATAAATTGCTCAGTAAGGCAGTCTTTAAAGTCTCAATTTAACAAAGCACCAAATCTTAATTTCAAGTAAATCCCACTGAATTCAATGGAAACTAAGCACATGCTTGGATATTTTGAGGAACAGGAATTGGTTTAAGCAGGTGCTTACTGTGGAGCACATAACTAAGTGCTTTGTTCAATCAGTGCTTAAGATTTGAAGGTATCTTCCTTTTCACACTGTCCTTCTAAAAGACTTCTTGGGTCTGCTGTATTTGCATTTAATGGGAAAAGACCAAATTTTCAGCATCAAGCGTCAAACAACAAATATTCAGAAATAACAATATGCAAACACAAGATTTGGAGATAAACTGAAATTAACCATTATCACAGATAAATGTGTTTTCATCACTAGCTCTAAGTTTGTTTAAAGACACACGAGGATGTTTTTACAAGCCTGTTGTATATTCTAGCAGTGATGTTTGTATTTGAAGAGATTCTTTATATAATCAATAAATTATATTTTTTGTATCTGCAAAAAAAAAAAAAAAAAATTCAAATCCAATGATGTAACTGAGGAAAAACTAGCCCAGTCTGTTTTTCATCTTTCAAAAATCATATGGGAAAAAAAAAAATCGAACTGTTAAGTTTGTCCGTTGCTCACTGGAAATATTGTGGATAATTGTACTTACTTACCTGAATACTTATTTAGCAAATACCTTCAGATACAAGTTTAGATACAGAGTTAAATGTAACTTGAGCATTAGTTTACACATATATATATATCAAAGTTTGACAATATCAAAATTCCATCAAACCTTGGGTCTTTCTTACGCTATTATCAAATATATTATGCCACTATGGGATAGCAGAGAACCATGGAACATTTGCATTAGGCATGTTTATTAAATTTGGTCAGTTTTCAGAACCTTCCAAATAGGAATACTAAACATTTATTTTCCCTTTCTGGAAATTTTTTTTCTCATGCTCAATACAGTTGTCATCCCAATTACTATTGAATTTATAAAAATATTTTTTTATCCAATAATCCCATCAAGGTAAAAATAGGAGTTTTTATAGCAAATGATAAACAAGCTCAGTGACTATGAGAGAAATTAAACGTATTTAAACTGTCATACATTCGCTAGTGAATCACACATCTCCATTTTCTTTGTGTGTGTGTGTGCTGTTGCCCACCTTAGACTGGCAGTTTTTAAGGTGCAGCAGCATCTTTCAAATGTATGTCTAATGATCAAATTCTACACATCAGTACCACATGCTTTGAATTTACATCATTAGCCAAACAAGCACTGTGTTACACAACAGGTCTAACTGAAATTTCATAATTCTTTAGAAATTATAGTACTTGTATCTAATGAGAGAACAAAAGGGGTATTTATGAGGTTCATTATATTACTAGATGCAATTTTTTGAAATACCCCCCCCAGCCCATTTCCAAAATTCAAAAACACATTTGAAAGAAGTTGCTGCACCTGCAAAGACACTCTTTAAGCTTACTATGAAATACAAAAAGTGCACCCTTCTATATCTACATATAAAACATATTAGAAATAAAACTTGTGTAAAATGTTTGCTGTGCAAACTATAAAAACAGTCAATCAGTCCATTCCGTTTCCTAAGTATTTTGTTACATTCTCTTGCTTCCTACTGCAGAGAATCACTGTTATCCAAAACAAGCCCACTGATGTTAGTTGTTGAGAGGTCTGCTCCATCTTCTTCACCACTATCCACAGATTCATCTTCACTTTGTCCTGCCATCATAACTTGCTGAACAGCCAAAGTAGCACCATCAGATGACAGAGACTGGAGACTGTCTACATTCACGTTGACTGGAGCTGTAATTGTTACAACAGCTCCTGGAGAAGTGAAAACATGCATACAATTAGTAAATTGAAAACATATCTAAATTATTATTTGATCATTAACAGTTACACAAGAGAATTTGTGGGATTTTTTAAAAATAAGATTCCCAGAAAATTACATGCAACAACTATTTGTATTATTTAGACTACAAAGTCAAGCACTCAAAAGTTAGAAAATGTCAGGTTGCAGGACTCTTAATGCGGTCCCTCTGTATGCATGCATAATAGGGTTGTCAAGCATCTAGTTTTTGACTGGAATATCTGGTTAAAAAGGGACCCTGTCATCTGTGGTCGACACAGCTGACTGGCCCACTAAAAGTCAGGTTTGCCACAGTGGCTGGCTCTGTTCCGCTCCCAGGAAATGGCAGTCATGTCTTTCCAGCTCCTCGGTGCAGCGATGGCCAAATAGGCTCTGCACGCTGCTTCTACTTATGGCATAGGTGCCACCCCTATTTGCAGCACAGATGCTTCCTGAAACGCCAGCTCCACAGCTCCCATTATCCAGGAACTGCGTTCAATGGGAGCTAAAGGGGCAGCACCTGCAGGTGAAGGAATATGAGGAGTCCCGTTGGCTGCCTCTGTGCCTAAGAAGCTCACACCCTGCTGCCTGAAGCCCACACACCTGAATCTTCCCCTGCACCCTGTGAACCCTTCCTGCACTCTGAACCCTTTGGTTCCAGCCCATAGCCTCTCCTATGCCCCAAACCTCTCATCCACAGATACAGCCCAGAGCCCAAACCCCCAGCCAGAGCCCTCATCCTGTCCTACATCTCAGCACCCTGCCTCAGCTTGGAACCTCTTTATGTTCTTATGAACCCCCTCCTGCACTCAGAGCTGCTCATTTCTGGCTCCTCCCTGAAGCCTGCATCCTCAGCTCAGAACCCATATACTTCATAGACTTCAATTTCCTGTCCCAGCTCTGTGAAAATGAGTAGATGAGGGGGGATAATAGTGTGCAGGGCCATGAGGAAGGAATAGGGTCTTGAGGAAGGGGCAGGGCAAGTGTGTTCAGTTTTCTACAATCAGAAAGTTGGCAACCCTAATGCATTATGACACAGTCTTTAATTATATGATCACATACTAATATTTCCCACTGAACCTCTATCTCATTCAGTGCATAGGCTGGTATATGCTCAGGGAGTGAATGAGGGTTATTTAAATGGATGAGGCTGCTGCCTTATCTAGCTCCCATCACTGTAAAAAATTAATTGCAGTATGGTAGCCATATTGCTCCCAGGATATTAGAGAGTCCAATATAAGATACTACTCATCCACTCTGTCAATAGTTAATGGCAGCTTTTCCATTAAACTTCAATAGGAGTCAGATCAGGTTCTTGATGCAAGGTGAGGTAGGGGACTTTAAGAAGGGAAAGCCTGGTGCTGTGATTAAGGCAGTTGGATGCCACACAGGAAGTATAACTGGATCTATCCCTGCCTCTACGACAAAATTTCTATGTGATGCTAGCTAAGTCATTTAAGCCAAAAGTTTAACAGGTGTTTACTAATGATATATTCCTCATTTTCTCACTGCTCAATGTGAAACTCTTGGGGCCTGATTAGTGGCACTGAGCACACAACACTACAAGTGAATTCAATGGGAGCTGTAGACACTCAGTACCTTGGGCAGTAAGACAGTGTGGTCTGCAGGAATGAGAACAACGTGGAGAGTCAGGAGGCCCCATGTAACAAGTCTGGCTCTTCCACTCTGGGAAAAATAATACATGTCATGTAACTAAAAACTATATCATAATACATTAACACAAGGGCAAAAAATTATGGTTGCATGGGCAACTTCAATTCTGACATTTCCTAACTTCCAAGTGTTTGACTTTGAGATATCTAAACAAAATTCTTGAACAAATTTTTCTACATATAATATATTACATACCACGACCCCAAGTATTTAGCTAAAATTCTAACACAGAAATGTCTGTCAATTCTTCCTATATTATCACCAAAGTGGTTTATCTACATCAGGAAATGCCCCAAAACATAACAAAAAGCCTGTTTTTATTTCAAAATAGTGAAGACATTTTAATAAGGAATTCATTTTATAATACATGTTCCAGCCAATTTTCCTTACCATCTGACATTGTAAGTTCATTAGACTGCTGCTGAGCAACTCCTGATGCAATGGAATCAGGCCAGAACCTCTGAACTGGTCTGTTTTGAGCTGTTTTTTTCTTTGTTTTTGGAGTTTCAGAACAGCTGGAATCCAGCATTGGCTGAAGAATTCGTCTTCTAGCATTAATAAACCTAAATATGACCAACAAAAAAGCCTCACAGCTTATGACCAAGAAATTGTCTCTGTGTTGTGTGCACATGCACTCACAATCTCAACTAATGTTTTATCCAAAAATATCAAAATTAAATAGAAATTAATATTAATACTGCAAAATATTTCTTAACACCTTTGTTTCATACTCCAAGTTAGGGCTGCCTCAGGAATCCCTAAGCCCAAAATCCCCTTCTGTATTCCACTGTGCCGGACACAAAATCACTCCTTTGAATATGGAGACCAAAGCTCTTTGCCAGATATGACAGACCTCTGATCTGTTGGATGGGTCAGTAAACCCCTTTATGCTTTAATTCCTTTGTCAGAAAAATAGGCATAATACTCCTTCCTTTCCTCTTGGGTTGTAAGCTGGAAGTGCTTAATGTCTGTAGAGTCCCTAGAAGTTTTAAGTTTGTACTGTTGTATATAAGACTATCCATTATTTGAAGCTGAATTTAGCATAGAACTGTATTTTTAACTCTAGCTGTTAATCATTTTTCCAGTTTAAATTAGACTCCTAATTTTATTTCTATGCATTGTACATATGTGGATGGTACTCACATACAGAGAGGATATCTTTATACCTATACTCCACTTATGTACATTAAGACAAAGTTTTGGATCTTACCAGTTGTTAACCTGTAGTAGTGTCAGATTTGTCTGGGCTGCAATCTGCTTTTTCTCATCTTCTGTTGGGTATGGATGCTAAGGATAAAAAAAAGTATGTAAATTTTGTCTGTTCTTCCTTAAAAGAAAATTAAACTTTCTTCATTACTATTGATTAAAAATTGCTAGAATAACACCCCCCCCCCCTAGTTTCATTAACAAAATAAATATTAAACACAAATTTTAACGGATATGGTCACTTAAATAAAACATTACTAAACTAAAGTTTATGTTATCCTCATAAAGTGTATATACGACCATTTAATTGCCCATATCAATCTCGGAAAAAAAATGCTTCTCACAGCCGCCAGAGTTCTTTGTAGACAATGTGATCCTTCACCAGCATAGCATGTGATAAGATTTGATTAGTTACACTGTCTGAAGGCTATGTCACATGAGAGTGCTGATGAGCCTTTTGTGGTTAAATTACCCTCCCCCCCCCAAAATTAAACAGGGCAAAGAAACTGTATGAAACCTAAGAAATGCATGTGTGATTTTTATGCATAATTTTTTCTGTTGTAACATCAGATAGCTAAAATAGAAGATACTCCACTAATTTATAGCGCTTTATTTATTACCAATAGAGATTCATCTTCCTCTTCCAGCACAGGTAAGACACTGTGGAGTAACATGGTGCTGATGGCACACAGTAGTTGTTGGAAGGTTCCCTTCCACTTAGAATTTATATGTTATTGCTCCTGAGTAAGCTTACCCTGAGAGTACCTGGCTCTAAAACCTTGGCACAATGAAATAAAAGAATAACAACTTCTAGAAAGTTTAATAAGCTCTTGTGGTTAAAATATATACAAATTTAGGGCTTTACCCAACTCAGGTTCGAGTCAATGAAATAACTCTACCAGATTTCAGTGGAAGATGAATAGGGCCCTTAATGCACATGGTAAGGCCAAAACATCAGGAAGCAAATCCAAACAGACCACACAGAAAGTCTTCTCTGAATATTTATGACTACTGATAATGTTTTGTCCTTACCCCTATGTGCTGAAAGAGCCAAGATCTCATCACATTAGTAGCGTGCTTTGGAAGAACCCCTCTCTTATTTTTTGACGAGCCATCATCTTGATGCAAGATACTTAGATCTTGATTTAACTGCAACTGAAGCTGCACAAATAATTTAAGAAAAAATGTAGAAAGATATAAATTACTTAATGAATAAAGATATTGTACAAAAATTGTTTTTATCATTTAAAAAAATGTATATATTTACAGAAACAATGAAAATAGTTAGCTTCATAATCTGTGTTAAAAAGGGTACTTTATTTACCTGTAGTGGTAGTGATGGAAGTTCTCTTGCAGTATTATCCTAAAGAAATCCATACTCTGGGTTACTTATTATCAGGTTTCTGATGTTTTAGCATTTTCTAGAATCTCTGTCAACAATTGCTGTAGTTGCCAGGAGGCTGTCTGCATTTAATCACAGCTACCAAGTGCAAAATGATTTTGATTTACAATAAAATTCATTCCAGTGCAGGGGCCAGATATAAGAGCCTTCTTATCCTGTAAACACCATATTGAGAATCTCATTCTCTGCTGACTTGCAACTTGCGTAGCCATTTACACATGGTGCTCACACAGTATAACATTTTTTGCTCATTTGGTAATACTTCATGCTCTCTTTACACAGGTGTGACTACTCATGGTGCAAGGCTGTAGAGAATTAGGCCCTAGAGGCTTAAATAATGTAAGACACCTTGCATGGGTCTTCTGCACTGAGGTGAATTTAACTCCAAAGTCCTTACATCTCCAGCCTAAACAAATACACCAAAAACTTAAAGCACAAGTCTGGGCATGTACCTCAATCCACATCATCATCTAGGAAGATAATTATGACAGATACAAAAGGAAGCACTCACTACTTAATGTCTCTATCCCCTACCCCCCATCTCCAACCCCTGGAAACTACAATGCTGAATCAGAGGTGCATACATCAGCTCCTTAAAGAAACCCTATATCTATAAAACAGATACAAAGAGCATGTGTATAGTAACTATGTAAAATGAACAACTATCACCAACTCCACTTTTAAGCGAATAATGGGCTAAGCCCTGTCCTTGAAGCATGTATGCAATTTCTTGGGAAGTGCATGCATGCATGTACAAGTTGATTTTGGCCTGATGAATGTTAGATTTATTAAGTTTGAAAGAGTATGAGAGCAGGGGAAAATAAATGACTACGTTTAACTGATTATAGCGGAAATTTAGCAGCTCCTTTACAAAGAATATAACTGTTTGCAAAGTCACTGTACAGGGAAAATCTACTATTTAAATGTATATGTTTAAAATACCAATTAATGAAGTTTTCCTCATATAGCTCCATCTATATGCGCACATACATTATTAAAAACTATACTAAAGCAAAATTAAATTTTAAACCCTTTGAATACACACACACACACACACACACACACAAAACCACCCCAGAAGATTCTAAATTAAGGTTTCCACAAAAATTCTACTGAATCAGTTTCCAATGCAGCATGCACTTGATTTTTATTTATGCTCTACCCTTTCTAAAAATGCAGAGACATATATACAGTGTTTTGTTTTATCAACACTGGGTTATATCCCCTGTGGATGTATTATATTCTCCACATCCCCTCAGCTACAGAGCATAACCAAGTGGCACCAACTGTTTTTGAAAGGGCTGACTGGCTTCACACGGAAATGTTCTTGGTCCCCCAAATCTGGCAGGCCACTGCGTGATTAAAAGGAGCACAGCATACAGACTTGAAACAAGACAGTCCTCTCAGTCAGCTGAAATCCTCTGAAACCGAAGTCAGCAGGATTTGAAAAGTCTGCACTTGGAATAGAGAACATTTCAAAGCCTGGTGATCAGTTCTCCCCCAAACCCCTAAGATAGGTGGGAAAAAAAAAAAAAAAAAAGGAGTTGTACTGTATTTCATCTACAGTGTATGATAATTTAATGGAAGGTCCTAATGTAATTTATACAAGGGGAAGAGTTCAGGCAACTGTAGGCTCTGTAACACATGGCTTCATTGTTGCATTATTAAAAGCTATATTTTAATGACTTAACACAGAAGTATGAACATTCATAAGATATCAATCTTTCCCTCATTTGTCTCCGTTTTCACTCTCAATTAATGCATCTAGATGTTCCCACATCAAAAAAATCTGCATCTATGAACATTTGAACAGATGCTCTTCAGTGTTTATCCAAATCTAATAGAGAATAGCATAGAGCTCACATAGGATATATCATTTCTAACAACTGCGTTGCAACTTTATTATATCTAAACCAAGTTTCTCCAAACAAAACAGAGCATCACCAAGCACAGTGTATACACTGAGTGTGAATCTATTTTAAAAGACTGTTCTTGAGCTAAGTGTAAAGTGACATATGTAAAAAAATTTCCCCTAGCTCCCAAACATGTTCAGATTTGACCACACATACACACAATTTTTTAAATTCATAGTAATCATTCTCTGCAAAGGCTCACTATTGCATTTTTCAACTCCCACAAGATAATTTCTTCTCCACCCTCTCAGAAAGTTATGAAACACTAGAAACAGGAATTTAGGAAATTCTATTTCATGCTCATGGATTACAGAGGAATACAGAGTCTAAATTAACCCACAGATGGACTTCAGAGTTCCAACTGAAGTCAAAGGAAGCTACGGACATTTTGCACAAATTGAAATTACTATTCCCCACTGGATGCCACACTTTTCCTATGTAACAGGGTAATAGTTTGACCTCCCAACATTCCAGTCTATGAGAACAATTTTACATGACAGAAGCATATATGGAATTCCTATTAATTCAGAGGTATATGTATCTGAGGGCAGAATTTGGCCATGTGTGTTCTATTATAAAAGATAAATGAATTTTAAATATATTCTTTCATGAAAGAAAATCAGTAATTGTTAATGGACTTTATATTATACAGATGAATTTTTCTGCTCACATGTTTAACAAATTAATTCACTCTAGGGTCTTTTTATTCCTGAATGACCTGATTTACCACTTTCTGATACAAGGACCTCGATATTGGATTTGAAACTGTTAACGTATCAACATATATATTTTTCTTTCCTATAATGCAATTTTTCCCTATTCTAAACTGTAAAGGGTTTCCCAGCAAAAGAAGGCTGACCTTTCTCTTTCTGGAGTTTGATGTAATGCACACTATTTGGCTGTCACCCATTTAGTTCAACACGGTATTCTGAAAGTTTGTGTAGTGAGAAACACCTCTTAACAAGTGTAAACTCTGAAATATATAAAAATAAAGTTTCAAATTACTGGTGATGTCAGCCTTCTTGCAAAGTGACACTTCTGACACCAGAAATATGACATCATAAACATACTTGTGTAAATCCATCCTGCCTGCCATAATGCTAGTTCAGTTAGAAAGAGATTAAAATGCTGAATATTTTACTGAGTAAACATTATTCTTTTATATGAATACTTCTCTGCTATCACTAAGAAGAAAAGAATTGATAATTGACATCATGATGCTCTGTCCTCTCACGGTAGATTTTCAAAAATCTTTGAGATCCTATGCCATATTACAAATGTGGGGATCTTTGCAGAAATACTTTTTTCTGAAATTAAGGTAATGAATTCTACATTAATTAGTTTTTATTTGTGCAATGCTAACTCTGACATTTTATCATACTGAACATGTTACTATTATTTTATAAATAGTGGGTTTTTTGCTTCAAGAAACTATTCCAAGAAGACTATGAAACAAACCTGTGAATTCTGGATCCTAATTGTCCCCGGTGACAGTGCCTGTGTCACTACTTGACCTTGTGGCGTGACCACAGTGACTGGCTGATAGACTGCACCCCCTTTAAAAACACATACAAAATTATGATTATAAAGCAGATAAAATGAATCTTTGAAAAATATGCATTTTAACATTAAGTGAATATCTTGGTGGGAGTCATTTTACTGACAAAAATAATTTTTGTACCATGTCTAATTTAAAGAGGAACAAATAATCATTGTATTTAATTACTTTAATATCATTATTGCTGACTAATAGAAACGTGTTTTTAGATAACTGATATTAACTATATTTTATTACAACTTCTCTAACAAATTAAGATGCACTCTTTAATATTAAATTTTAATTCACAGAAAACTGTAACAAGTAAAGTCAATGTCTGTCCATTTCAGATATGCCATATCAGATGCTCTAAGTGACAAGACATTTCAAGTTTATTTCACCTTGACTGCCAGCCCAACTCTGAATTATCAGGATTTTACTGCCTTCTGTTACCAACCTATACAATGTGATAAAATACTCTAAAGCACATAATTTTAATAATACACATATTTTACCTAATAATATTTTCAAAAATAAGTAGAAAACATGTTCTTTTCAATAATGGATCAAATAATTTTTCCATTAAAAAAGGGACATTACACAGAAATATCACCTTCCCCCCCAAAAACCTTTTAGATATATTTCTGTGCAATGTCCTTTTTTGATTGTATATTCATAAGTATACATTATGCTTAATATGCACAAAACATATGAAACCAGTATTAAAATGCCTACTGGGATTCGCATTTGTACAGTACTTACATAAGCAGGGTCTCAATCAATGCTTCCATTGCATCCAGCTGGGTGTGGTTATATTCACTAGTTTGCTTAGACCTGGTAGGTATTCAAAAGTTGTTATGTAAATATAGTTCACTTTGTATTGGGAAATAAATCCTGGGTATGGTTATGTACAGGGCTCACCGAGCTGTAGCGAGCCCCGCCAGCCGCGCTGTCTGGTGTTCTGCGCATGCGCAGCTCGTTCTGTGCATGCACGGATCGCTGGAACCTTGCTCTTCCGGGTTGTAATCTACTCGCCCATGGGCGAGTAGATTACAACGATTATCGAGCCCTGGTTTTGTAAATATACTTCACTCAAGTTGCTTAGGCCTGCTAGATATTCAGTTGTTAGAATGGTGTTTTGCCTATTGTAACCAATTTGGCTGTTGTGGTGTCACAAACTGTGTTAATCCTAAATGCAGAAATTGTTAGAACAAAAGGAAGTTCTTCACACAGCGCATAGTCAATCTGTGGAACTCCTTGCCTGAGGAGGCTGTGAAGGCTAGGACTATAACAGGGTTTAAAAGAGAACTAGATAAATTCATGGAGGTTAAGTCCATAAATGGCTATTAGCCAGTATGGGTAAGGAATGGTGTCCCTAGCCTCTGTTCTTCAGAGGGTGGAGATGGATGGCAGGAGAGAGATCGCTTGATCATTACCTGTTTGATTCACTCCCTCTGGGACACCTGGCATTGGCCACTTTTGGCAGACAGGGTACTGGGCTGGATGGACCTTTGGTCTGACCCAGTATGGCCATTCTTATGTTATGTCCTTAGATATGACCACAATGCTTGCAGTTATTGGGAATGCAGAAAAGTCAGACTGTGTTTAACTCAGTTCAAAGGAGAGAAATTGTCAGTGTAAAGAATCTCAGGTGGACAAGGCTTCCTCTGCCAGACTCTATGAAGGCAACTGGGGGTCGGGGGGCAAAAACGGCAGAGCTCTGAACCAACAGGCTGCATGCCCTCTAGGCGTGAGCTGTAAGACTGGTTCAACCTGTTTCTCTCTCTTCCGCCTCATTCTAATGCTAAAACTAAAACAGATTTCAGAAGGAATCTCTTTATTATTTTGAAATTTTATTCCAGTGGATACTAGAATCTTTTGCCTGGACTGAGCTGTGGGCCAAGAGCTGAAATCACTAAGTATGGCCCAGAGCCAAATCCATCACAAAGCCAGCAGCAGCAGCGGGTAGGAGCAGCGGTGAGCCGTTGGTGGGGCAGCCGGCGGGAGCAGCATATAGGTGGCATTGCCACATACCCAACAAGGTGAGACGTCATGATGATGTACCTATGACCTCTGGGCTTACACTGACTGGACAGAACTATAAATGGAGTGTTTGAAGTGTGGAGGAGTGGGGGAAAACCACACTATATGAGTTGGGGGTTGGGCTAAAGATCTTTAAGCAAAAGACTCTGCCCTGCGGATTCCAGGGATGGTGCCCTGCTTACAGGTTTTCTTTATGTGTGTTTCTGTAGGTTGATACTAGATTACTGTTATTAAACAGACTGTTTCTATCTCCAACTCAGTGCTTGCGAGAGGGGAAGAATTGCCTCTAAACATGTCTAGTGGACAGATTGGAATTTTCCCAGTTTACTGGGAGGCGCTTGAGCCAGTTTGGTCACAATGTTGAGAGAACCTCCCTGGATACTGAACACGGCCCTTCTGGCTGCTGACTGCAACTGGCAGAAGGATTACATTTTTTTTATCCTGGACAAGCCCCCAAAAATGTAACCCTTCCACCGGTAGCAGAATATCTGGTAAGCCAAACAACTTGAGTGAAGTTTAATTTCCATAACCACATCCAGGATTTCTTTCCCATTCCAATGTGAACTGTATTTACATAACAGCTGTTGAATACCTAGCAAGTCTAAGCAAACTAGTGAACATAACCACACCAAGGATTTCTTTCCCATTCCAGCTGGCTGCAATGGAAGCATTGATTCAGACCCTGCTTACACTTGGAAAGTTGCTATCATAGGCGTTATTAATAAGAAATATTCATAACTCTGTACATTTCTTAACAACTTGAAAGAAAAATAAAGAGCATTATGTCATATTTTAGTTGTGTCATACCTGCTACTGTTGCCATAGTTACATTTCCCTGCTGCAATGCTGATGCAGGCACCATAATCCCTTGGGGACTGAGCGTACCTGCAATGGCACTTTGAATTTGCTAGAAAAATAAAATAATTAGTTTTTAAAATTAAGTATGCTTATGTAATTTTTAGCTGCAGCAAATCTGGGGCTTTAAAAAGTGAATGTCCAGGAGAAAGAGGTCATTACTGCAAACTAAGCAGCTTGAAAAAAAAAAAATGGTTACTCGTCTCTCGTAACTGTTGTTCTTCGAGAGGTGTTGTTCATCTACATTCCAATCAGCTGTATGCACACACACATGCACAATAATCAGATTTCCCCCCTAGCAGCTAGCCATAGGGTAGGTCTGGACACCCCCAAGGATAGCACTTTCATGGTGCCCAATATAGAGCCCTGCCAATCTACTTCATCCTCAGTTCCCTCTCTTTGGGAATAGCCAGGAAGAAGTGGGACGGCGGGCATTGGAATGGACATGAACAAAACATCTCGAAGAACAACAGTTACAAGAAGAGAGTAACCATTTTTTCTTCTTTGAATGCTTCTTCATGTGCATTCCAATCAGGTGACTCATAAGACTGTGCTCAGGAGGTAGGGTCAGAGTTTTCCACTGACTGGAGCACTGTCAGTCCAAACTATGCATCTTCTGTAGCCTGGCCACTCCCAACTGATGAGGAGGCACTAGGTTCTCTGTTCCAGTGCTGGGGTCAGATTGTGGCCTTAGAGCCGCCTCCATAAGGAGAATTTTGAGTC